GGTTTCGATACCCGTGGTGAGCAGAGCACAGATAGCCCTTTGTGTAGCTTTATGCTTAATAATAAACAACAACAGTAACTCTAATTGGGTGTGTTTCAAAATGTGATAACAGGTGGTAAAAAACAAAACAAATATGTGAGGTGGTATTTTTCATACGGGAACGTATCTGTGATTAATACTAAGCATTTATTAACCACAGAATAGCCTCCACTCATTTTTTACTTGTAATTATTATTATCATTTTATAATAATGTCTTAAAATCAAATATGTCGAGTTGTTCCCTCAGTAAAGTATTTCTTTTTTAAATAAATAATAATTTACATGAAATAGGCCTTTTTTTCTACTTATTTTTATATAAACCTCGCTCCCATGAACAAAATAAACTTTTTACAAATCGTTTCAAACGAATAATGTAAGTGAAATATACCTTACCTTCCAATTCTCTTCATATAAACCTCTCCCAAAAATAAAATAGATTCATAATTCATTTTAAACGAACTAATCTTTTGGAATTACTAATATATCATTTCCTAATTTTATTTGTCTACAAAGGAAACTCCAGTACAGAATACTAAAACAGTGAAATCATTTCAAAACATACCATAAACAAAAATAAGATAATTGTGTCATTTTTTTTTCCTAAATAACAAAAACAAAATTTATGTTTAATTTACGGTGATTTCAAATTTTGCTTGCAAAAATAACTTATTTTATAACATTAGTAATACATTATCTGAATTCTATATTACTTAAATAATTAATAGTCATTGTACTCGTACAACTGTTTTTTTTCTGAGTCCCACAGTAGGTCAACTGTTAGTTTACGGCCTTATAACGCTAAAATCCGCTGTTCGAATCTCTACTGTAGACAGAATTCACGTAACTTATTGCGTAGCTGTGCGCTAAATCGAAAGACAAACTTTTTTTCTGAAATAGTATTCCTTTATTCTAATGATTGATTTTCATAACTTGCAAAATATGGCATAATTTTTTTATTTACGAGTTACTGCGAATTAACACACAGTATGTCATTTAAAAAAATACAATAATATTCCCGTAAATTAATTTTAACCGTGACACAGAGATTTATACACCTTGAAAATCATTGTAAAATTTCACGTATGCAATGAATTGTCGCTTTGTTTACTTATTTAAGGTTAGCTTTTCGAATAATTTACAAAGATAAGCAAATAATAAGTGGGCAATGATGGCCGAATATGAATTTTGAAAATGTGTACGTCACAAATTAAAGATTCATTCTAAAAGAAGAAACTAAACACAGTTCGTGCCACGTTTAATTATTATGGCAGCATTTCTCACTTACTGCAGAACATCAAGTACAAAATTGTGTAAAGTGAGAAGAAGGATGCAATATTTTCCCCCTGGTGACAGAGTTACCTACATACATGGTCTTCGTGTATTTTATGCTAACGTTTTCTTTTTATTTTACAGAGTATTTTCTCAAGCTGAGAGTTACATAACAACTGAATACAAGCAAAAGAAAATCTACACATGGAACGTTAATGATTTATAAATTCTTCGTTAGTGTATATTTCATGTTAATCAAAGGATATTTACTGCAATTATAATATTTGTTGTAGTTTCTTCAAACATTTTCGGCGTTATAAGTTATAATGGTTTTCACGTGATTCAATTTGAGGATGAAATCGGCAGAGTTGTTGATTGTTTATTGCTAGTGGTTGAGGGTTTAGGATGGGAACTGAGCAGGCATTGCTAGGGTCAACCAATCGCACTGAAAGTATGACGCAAGGATATATTAAATTTGAAATGTGTGCCTTCAACTAAACATTTAATAGTGCAAAATATAAAGTTGGGATAAAAGTATTGGTTGAACAAATATCCCCCCCTATAAAAAAAACATTTTAATCCTAACAATCTATTCAATCCACACGTTCTTTTTTTCATTTAGAGGTGGGGGTCTTCGGGCAAGAAGTAATATTATTCAACATCTATAAGACATTTCCTGGATTTTTTCATTGGGTAGTTCGGCAGAGTGATCTTTATCAACAAAAATATTATGCTAATGAATAAAATTTTCATCATATATTTCCAGGCATTTTGTTAACTGAACATTATTTTGAAATGGAAACTCATGCTCATCACAAAACGGGCTGTTTGATTACGACCTGTACTAACTGTTTGAAAGTGGACTTATAAAGCCTATTGTATGTTACAAGATATAATGTCATTTGAACAGTAGAGACTGTCTCCATTTACAAAAGGGGATGTGAGAGACCAGCACCTGCGATTTCCAAATTTGAATAGAGATTTTGGTCCAAAATAATGACTCACTATAAACAAATATAGATTTTAAAATGAAACTGGAAGCTGGAGATGAAGGATTGAAAATGTAATAAAGATTTAAGTTGGTCGTTAAACTCTTTCTTTCTGCATTAATTTCCTTTACTTGTTTTCTTTACGTGATTTGATCCCAATGGCCCAAATTTCCTCTCTAATTGTAAATTTTTTTCAAGGGGAGAATACCCTCCAAACCCATAACTTTCGCCTGCCCCATTTTTGGGGTATAGCACGGATTCAAACCCGTCCCGTAACTCCAAAATCAGAAACTCGTGTCTATCTGCACAATAACCTTATATGCAACCAATCATCTTCTCACTCAAAGTGTACATTATGTTCGAAATCGATTTTTACTGATTACGTAAAGGACTTATTGATTTCTGTTTAATATTAAAAAAGAATCACACAGATTGAAATAAAATCAATATTATTGACAGCCATATACGAATTAATGTACGGAGAGCTATGTATATAATATGGCTTCCATTTAGGCTATAAATCATGCGTTAAATCTTCAAGGGTTAATCACCATGATAACTTAAGTTGAAGCATTGTTACCAGTGTTGGTCTTAATGCTTGACGTGTTAATAATCGTAATGAAACAATTAAAGCATCGTTATCAGTGTTGGTTCTAAAACCCCAGGGTTTAACTTAGCAGTTTCGATTAAACATTTCAGAGGCTAACAAACTTAACGAATCAATCAAAGCACTGTTATTAGTGATGGTGTTAAAACTTCACGATTTAATTATAATAGTTAAAACACTGTCACCTGTTAATATTCTTAACAGCTATATATGAATGTCTTAAAGCTTCAGGAGTCGAAAAAAATGATTTCAATTGAAAAATTGCATGAGGCAGTATTTTTACACGTATTTACAAGTAGCTAAACCACCAAAAACTTTTATTATACATATATTTAAATTAAATAACCTTACTAATTTTGCACATCATGTACTATATGAAAATTGGAAACCAAAATACAATTTCCGGTTCGTAGGATGTCATTTATTTACCAGTAGAACAGAAGTCCTTGATGAGAAACTTTTATCAATTTCTTCTGTAGCGATCTGCTAAAACAACAGTGAGAATCTATTAAAGATGAATACCGTATTGGGATTCTACATGACTCCAGCAAGTGAAAATTTCATTTACTTACTTTACAGATTATGTTCTTGTGAAAACTGCAAATTCGTTTTGCCTCTTGAAACTCCATTATCATTTTTGTTTAGAACAATTATGCAATTATTTTATTTTTGCCGACTCTTTATTTTGATCCTCAATCACTCTTACTATATACAAACAAGTAAAATAATTCTCTCCGTAATCGCAAGGTAAAACCATCATTCGATCTGGTTATTGTTAAAGAAAAGGGATCATCAAGAAATTGTTTTCTTCTGTGTTATCACGAAGCTGTAATTCAGACTTGAATGTTATCTGCCACTCACTAGAAGTTCCTTATGGTCAAACTACACAGTTTATTGGCATTAAAGCGTTTCCAATAAATAATTATTTTAATCTTATAATACTGAACGTAACAAAAAACAGCAGCACATTTCTAAATTTCGTTTTAAACAGTTGTAAGCAATATTTTTAATGCTTCAATTTAAACGTTCATTAGGGAGCGCATGGCATTAGTCTTAAAATACGTAACATATTCTAGATGACGTCATGAAAACCTAGTAACTTCCATGAATATCTACAGGAAAGACCTTAGTTTTAAATACCAGTTAGTAAAGTGAATGAGTATTAAATGTCAAATTGAAGCATTCAGTGTGTGAATGCCAAGTAGTTGTTGATCGAGTATTAGTTATTTTCAGCTAGCATTGAAGTGTTTAGTTTCAATGAAGTACTGGGATCAATGTTAGTTATCATGTATATTCAGTTACTCCATTTCACAAGTAAGTTTATCTTTACGTTGGTTGTAGTACCGTTAGCGAGGTATTTCTGTCAGAAAGTCATTTGTGGACTTAGGCCTATGACTTACAATACTGTAAATCTTGTAAAAACACTAAGGAAGAATTATTTCGAATTATTTTCATCAAGTAAATAAAAACCCGCCCAACAAAGAAACAACGTTATAACACTGGTATCAGAAATTAAATTATTTTGGTGAAAAAAACAATGAGTGAACTTCAACTTTTGAGTTGACCTCACGAGGTTATATCGAAGATTTACTGGAGTTAATGAAACAAAAAATTCAGGAGGGTTAGAATATTAATCGAAGAACAAGACAGAAAATTAAAAGACCAAGTAGAACGAGACAGAAAACTAGAAGAACGTGTTGGGAAATTAAAGAAAGACCAAGAGGTAAGATAGAGGAATTAAAAGAAAGATATGTGCTTGTTTGTTTTAGTTATGCACAAAGCTAATGAACGGGCTATCTGTGCTCTTCCCACCACGGGTATCGAAACCCGGTTTCTAGCGTTGTAAGTCCGCAGACATACCGCTGTGCCACTGGGGGGGCAAGATATGTGATATTTAAATAATTAAAATATAAAATAAACCTGACGAGATTCATGAAGCTATAGGGGACTTACAATGAATTACAACAGCAAGTCTGGAGAAATGCAGAAGGAAATCAAAGTAAAGGAAGGCTACAGTGAAAAAAATTAAGAAATACAAAAATATATCTCTAAAGTACAAAGATTACAAAGACAAGATAAATGAAGTAGAAAATAAGAGATAGAAAGAAAAAACATTCGGAAGAGGAATTGGTAAAAGCGGAGATTAAATCAGCCACAAATCTTTTGACATTTGCCCAAGTATTTCAACCTAAAACACCAGTTTCTACAAGATATGGAATAAGATAATCTATTTTATGTACATCTATTACCACTACTACTGTACCATCTGTGAATGCAGGACCTTCATTGACTACTCCAGCTATGTCACCACTAAATCCAATTCCAAAATTTAGTTGGCCAGTTCAACATTAGCCAATAGAGAAACCAACAGACTATGATGGAAAGGTATCATGCGAGGCATACCAGGCTCAATTCAAATTATTTCCAGAGTCAACGGGTGGTATAGTGAATAGCAAGCTATTCACCTCGCTACCCATATAAAAGGACCAGCTTTGACAATACTGAGAAATCTTCCAGTTGAGAGCCATAACAACTACCAAGCATTAGTAGCCGCCTTATTCAACAGGACTGGAGTGACACATCAGAAGGAAGTATCCAGAGCAAAGATCCGTAACAGTGTATGGAGGAAAGCAGAAACCTTAGCCGAACTTGGAGAAGGCTTGCCCAATTATCTTACCCAGATTCTTCTCGTGAAATGATAATTTGTTGACACGTGACCAACTTATAGATGCCATAAAAGATGAGGATTACGTTTAAGTAAAGTAGTCATTATCTTTAAATCGAGTTCGCCAGTTATGAGCCCATTAAAGTTACAGATAAACTAAAAGGAACCATATAAAATTACGGGAGTATCAGACCTTGCAATATTGAAACACCAACTCTCTTAACAATAATCTATTACACATGATGGAGGGAATAAACCACAAGAAAATAGATTTTTCAAGTGTAACTTGAAAGGAGAATTTGCAAGAAAATGCAGATTAAAGCCAGTATGGAATAAAAATTCCTCCCAGAGGATACTAGAAAGAGGGGACTGTTATAACCGAGGGGAATATTATTACAGTCAAGACTGTAAAGAATCAACAGTTGTTATGAAGCCAAAGAGAAAATATTCTATGAATGTATCACAGAGCCCAATCAGATAAAATAAACAACAAAGAGTTAACGCCAGACACAAAAGTTCATTATTTGAGTAAAATTGGCTAGGAAATCCCTATGTGATTGATGTAAATTACTACACTGAAGGTTGAACTTCCAGTTACAACAGGGAGGGTGGTCATTGTACCACTTGGAAGCACTAACAGTCATTAGTAATAAACCTTGACATAGTGGAACCAAATACTCTGACATGCCCTCAGAAATTACTGGTTGGGAGAGCTCTCGTAGATGTGAAGAATAAAGATGTTGAACAAAACTTTACCCAGGGAAGACTTAAATCAGCTTGCAATAAAATGAAATATCACTATGATGTTAATACTGATCAAATGTATTCTACTGAGGTGACATGGTATGGTTGTATTATCCCTGCTATAAGAAAAGACGAACTTCAAAGTATAACAGGTGCTAGGAGGGACTATATGCTGTACTAAAAAGAATCAATGATGTGGTTTACAGAATCTAGAATGACTGTTCATCCACCGTGATCATCTTTGGAAGCATGTTGGTGACAGAACAGCGAACCAGGTAACTCCACAGAAGAATTTGTCAGCAGAAACTTAACCTGCTGAGGAGTACAGGATTCTTGTTGAGACCATTTCTAGAAAATGAACAAGAATATAGCCACAAATGGATTCACTCAAGGACCTACCTAGGTAGCACTCCCTCCTGCGACAGCCAGTGACGAAAAGGGACAGGAGGTCATCCCTTCTGTATATTATGGGTCTTGGAAGATAAGCCCACCAAAAAGACTTGATTTATAGACAGTTTACTTTAGTGTTTTATTTTTGTATTAGGATTGTTCAGAGGACTTTACAATACAGGAAGGGGCAGTGTTGTAAGTTTTGTTTTTAATGTTTCATTTTAGATGTTAACTAGGAGGCGCATGACGTTAGTCTTAGAATATTTTAAATGACATCACGCAAATCTAGCAACTTACGCCAGTCGGCAGAGTGAAGGAGTATTAAATGTCACTGGGAAGTATTCAGTATGTGAATTTCAAGTAGTTGTTGATCGAATTTTAGTTATTTTCAGTTAACAGTGAAGTGTTTAGTTTCAGTGAAGTATTAGTGTTAGCTATCGCGTATATTCAGTTACTCTATCGATTAGCCGTGAAATTGCACAATTATATTTATCTTTACATTATTAGTAGTACCACTAGCAGGGTATCTCCGTTTGAAAGTCATTTCTAGACTTAGGTCTACAAGTTACCACAGTATAATAAGCTTGTAATAAACGTTAAGAAAAACAAAACTGTTATCCTTACGTGGACTGGACTTCGAATTATTTTTCACCAAATAATTAAAAAAAAACTGTCCAACGAAAGAACGACGTTACAAAAATACTAACGCTGATTATAAACTTTCCATTGAAAGCAATGAAATGCAGCTCATTGTTAATATTATTATTAATTATAGAAGTTTTTGTAAACACTAATTAATTTTCGTTGTCTTGAATAACGTAATTTTTGGAAAACTAAACCATAAACGCCATCTTATAGTGTTCACGAAATCAGTATTAAACAATTCCTCAACAATATGTTGTTAATTGGACTCTAGGTAATTGTCAGCTGAAAAGAGTTTCATCCTTCTCATTTCAATAATACATTCAAGTATTAAGATAAGCTTGCTTGCACTCACTTTTTGAAAATAACCACTTTAAAATGTCTTAAATTGACAGTTTTGAATAAATAATAATTTATTTTGTTTCCGTTAAGAATATCTACTCTAGTAGAAGTCCTTCTTGAGAAGCCGTCCAGCCTATTTCTCCTTTGAACTGCTGCAATAACAGGTATAATCCACTCAATAAAAATTTCTTATTGGGATCCTATAAGGTTCAAACAGACATTTCGTTTATTTGTTTTTCATTATTTTTTGCAAAAGATCTTTACCTAAATACCTAACCTTTAAAAATTAAAGTTTGTTTTCTTAATATTACAATCAATATACATTTTAAAGTTAAAATTGTATAATGAGGTATTTGATTTATTAGTACTAATTTCAGTTGTCTAATCCAGTTTGTTTAATTAGTGCAGATGAAATTACAAATCATACTGCTCAAGGTGCGTTATTTTATTTATATAATTTAAATTATTAATGTACATAATAGCAAAACATCCTCGTAACATATGAACAGTACAGGCTCCAATAATCTTTAAGCACTCTCATCAACAGTAACATATTGTTTGTATGTTTACGAATCTTCGTTAGCGTATGTGAATGACGGGATGTTTTGTTGTATAAAAATAAAATATTATTAATCAAAAACGTTTGTATGTTGTTGCCCCCCCCCCCCAGTGGCACAGCAATAGGTCTGCGGACTTACAACGCTAGAATTCGGGTTTCGATACCCGTGGTGGGCAGAGCACAGATACCCCATGGTGTTGCTTTGTGCTTAACTTCAAACAAACCTAAACCTTGTTTGTTGTTAATCGCAAAGCTACAACAGAACGTAGTAGCGTCATAATCCCAGAAACTTGCCACTGGGGATTGGGAGGAGTGTTAATTAAAAACGATTTGATTTCATACATATGTATAAATGTCTAATAAAACATTAAATACAGAAACGGAGAATATACACCTGAATATTTCGACAAATTTATATGAACCTTTTGGGGCTTGCTACGAAAACATTACCTCATATAAGGCAGTAAAATTAATATTATGATTGGGTGAAAATTTAAATTTCTACTATCATCAACGTCTTTCATTTGTCAAGGTATGTTGATGATGCTAGAATACGTTAAACGAGTGCACGGATCTTTATATTTCTCGTACAAAAATTTATTTATTTATTGAATATGTAACATTTAATCCATGTGTTCTTTTGCAGCATGCTTTTTTGTCTTTAGAACGGCTAACTGCACTTTTAAAAAATGAGTTAAACAAATCGTGATAATTATCATGTGTGAGAGGAGGAGGACTTCAATGTACTTACTATATAATTCATAAAAATACAGAGTTAAAACTTATAATAACTGTTAAATATGCTCATGAACACCAAGGTATCCTTACATTGTTTACAGGCTAAATTATTCGAAAGTTACAAAAAGAACTAATATGGTGACGTGAATTGCTATGAAATCATAATATAATTGTTTTTACTTATCACAAATATCTAACCCACAATGGCATATAACAGACAGATAAGCCTAGTAACACAAACATTAAAAGAAAAACCAATACTATTAATGTGAGACAAAAATGTTTCGAAAACATCGAAACATGCCGAGTGCACGAGACTGTTCCCAGTCTCACGGTTTCTAATTTATGCAGTAAATTAGTGAGTAAATGTGTTATTGTATTTTGAGACAAGAAATAGTATCATTTTTAAACATTTGTTGTGTAGCATTAAACGTTGGTTTTCTTTTAACATATTTGATATTCACACGTGTCGTCTTAACCTTGATACTCTGAAGTATAAGCCTAGTGCACAAACAAATAACTATACGTATTGATGAAAATTCTGTAACTTGTAAGATGAACTCTTTTCCTTTAAATACCACTATTCGTATACTAAAAATTATTATTTAAGTTTCAACCACTTTGTTTAAAATGTTTCAGATATTTACAAACCTGTTATTAAACTGTAATGGTCGTCGTCTACCTTCACGCACACTTACGTTAAGCTATTACTATTCGTTTCCATTTGGAAAACCATTTGACATAGCATATTTTTCCCAAAATGTTGAAAGCCAGATAAAAAATACCCCACTAAATTATTTCTCCCAAAAAAAAATATATAAATGCCAAAGAAATTAATATTTGACATAAATTAACATAAATTTAGTTACTTTACAGCAAAAACATTTTCCTCAACTATTTAACCTATTGATTATATTTACCACGAAATTTTCCTCTAAATCAAAAGTTGAAACTTAGCAAAATTATTACATTTAAGTAATTGTTTTGGTCTTAAAAAAATGTTGTCATAGATTTATCTGTATTTATTATGCACGGTGTCATTATTAATATTTTGCTAACTGCAAAATGTACCCCAAAATGTTTTATATATATATATACACATAGGATACCACCATTTATATTTTGAATGGTCTGTGCTAAGAAAAGTGTAATTCTCCTTCATGGAAATGTATAGAAGTTTCCAATAAAGGATTTTGCATAGTTTTCATCAGTTGACATAGCAAGCTCGATTATAATACTAAATTGATAAATCTGCTTACTTAAGATGCTCTTTAGTTTCGTAATTATCTAGATTATAAAACATTTATGCTCCTAACATGCTTCACTTTTATTAACTCATGTGGGCGAGCATAACCCTCTACTACTAGACTCAATAATTGTTATATTTTCCTAAACATATTAAACACAGATTTCATAAAATTATTGAGTGTTTGTTGTATTGTTGAGTTTCAATTAATCTTTTTGATAGAATAGTTTATTAAAAATTTTCACTTATTGTTTTCTTGTGTCCATATGACGATAAAGTAAAAAAACAAAAAAAAAAACGATGACGTAGGGCTATAACCCAAGAAACAAGGTCACTATAAATATGTTTGTGTATGTGTATTTACTGACTAGGTCACGTGATACGCAAGTAGAAGCGCCATTTTGAATAAACGCTTCATCTTCTAAAGCTGAACATTGTATTTTAAAGACATCAGAATTATTAGAGTATTGCTTACCGTTGGCCTTCAATATCTCAGCTACATCAGCCAAAGCTGGATTTGCCTGAAAAAAAAGCGCAGAGATGTTTCACTAACACCAAGCCGATTCAACTTTATTGACGTAACTGCTTTGTTGTTGCGCCGCCATTTTGTGACAAGAACACAACTAACTTTTTATTTTAATGATATTTCCAAATTCCAAATGAAAATTACATTTCCACAGTACTCTTGATGTTCCAAAAACAAGACACGACTACACAACGTTGAAAATGTAGTGATTTGTGCTGTTAACTAGATTTCTTAGCACTAGCTGCAAACGTACTCCATTCTCCATTTTAGCTGTCGCGAATGTTCCTCACGTTCAACTGAACCTGCCTTTCGTCTTGCCTGGCATTACCGATCGAGAGACCGAGCAATGTAGCAGACCCTCTAGCAGGAATTGAAAGCAACGTGTTTGAGAATTACCCAGAAAGTGATCACGCGGCAGCTGAGACCTTGTAACCATGTCTATGATAATCTGTCTTTTATTAACTTTATTTTTTCAAGATAACTCGCTTAACTTGGAATTAACACTTCAAATTAATCAACAATAAATAACCAAACTTTTGCTACAAAAGGATAAGAAATTGGAGAAGCTAACAAAGGAAATGTGCCGGTATTCGTTAATATCTATCGTTTTCGAAATATTTTCAATACCAACTCTAAAACATACATCCAGATATCTTTTATATAGCACAACTGACCTTTCAATGTATTATTTCTTTTCATGTGTACTTAATTTTTTCTCAATACTTTGATCATAATTATGTCGAAGTAACAAACTAATAGTAATAAGTCCTTGGTTGGTCGTTCGATCAACCGGAAATGTATTCGTACTGATGCCTAAGGGATGATGGGAACTTTTAACGTTGAGAAGAATGAGGTTACAACGAAAGGCATTGTTTTTATAAAATAGTATTTAATACTATTGTGTAAAAATTAAAAATAAATAATCTGTAAGTGAAATAATTTATATTTATCAAACATACATAACAATCGTCTTAGTCTATATTTAACCACTTCAGATTTAGAAAATTACTAACACCGACCGTTAGTGTTACTAAAATGCCAAGCTTACTAATAATGGCACATACTAAAACATTTTAAAACTGACAAATGAAAGTTTATAGATTTTTATCACAATTACCAAACACATCCTAAACACTGAAGTGTGCGGAAGAAAAGGCAAACATTACCGTGTGCGATGAAACAGTGAACTATTTTTCAAAATTCAATACACTTCAAAAATGTACTGGAATCTTATTTTAGAAAGACAAAAAAAAGTGGCTTTGCTATCACAACAAATTATAAATGATAATAATAAAATCTGTCATTTTTTCTTCTTGCTGCTTCTCCTTAAGGTCTGAAATGATAAACTTTCATTAACGCTTTTAATATTTAAAATAATACAAAAATGTTAAATCCATCAAGGTATTGTAAATATGATCCATTTAGTTGAAAACGTGTTACAAAAGATTTGTCCTGTTTTATCAAATCATATTTTACACCCACATGAACATTTTCAGGGTATATTTTTGTTAAGCGCAAAGCTACTCAAGGATTGAGCCCCGAGTTTTAGTATTATAAGCTATAAAGTTTGCCACTGAATTAACAGCCGCCAAATTTTAAAGTTTTGATCCACTAATCAATATTTACTGGTATAGGTTTACTTTTCTATTTTGTACCTTATTGCCTCTGCCAGTAATTTTTAGAACCTGATGTATGAACAAACTAGAGATAGTATTTGCATTAAATAAAAGTTATATTTAAAGCATCTTAAAGTCTCCCCGTAGGTCAGCAGTAAGTTCAAGGACATACAACGGGGTCCGATTTCACACAGTGGACAGGGCGTAGATGGGTTATTGTGTAGCTTTGCGTTACAACAGGTAAGTATCTAAAAGCAACTGAAGAACTCGATATCTTTTCCGCGTTGGACACTTCTGGTGTTATTATATAACCTGGGTATTAATTACGTGTTGTGATAAAACAGTGTTGAGTCAGGATAAGTTGTCCATTTAACAAAGACACTGAGACAAGCGCACAAATTTGAATATATTTATTTATTTACTAACTGGAGTACCCGTCTCCTGTTATGACGAAAGCTATGTAAATTCATGATTAACGA